TCTAGGTATCTAAATGAAGGACATGAGGTCTCCCTTTATGTATCGAGGGATAGTGGAGGACTCAGAAAAAAATTTGTTTATAAGTGTGTAGAGTCAAAAAATGGTTGTGGTGCCTTTCTTGTTATACATTTTAAAACTTGTGTATCAAATGTTGTTGAATCAATTGAATTGTGGACTCGTCACAACCATACATTCACTACACCTCCTCGGTCTCGGTGTGCAGTTAGAATGAGCGAAAAATCAAGAAAGATAGTTGAAGAAGATGCCAAAATGAACGTTCCACTAAATATAACCAAGACAAAAATAGGGGATAAATATTCTAAAGATGTCCTTTATGAGCATAGGCGTAAATTCTTAGGTATTTTGTCGAAAGATCAATGCAACGAATTAAAAGATTATACAAAGACGTTGACAACATTCGACACACAATTTGTTAACAACTCCTGTGGTGTATTTGATGAATGTTTCTTTTTTAATAACAATATCCGTGTAGATTTGTGTCAGAAAAACGTTTTTTTAGATGACACTTTCTGTACGAATAAATTCCAACTTCCAATTGAAGCTGCATTATGTAAAGATATCAATGGAAACTCACAGTTGATTGCATTTGGATTCATGAGACATCGATTTACATCATACTATACCGACTTCTTGGGGTTTTTAAAAAGTCGTTTCTTTCCAATTAAGTGTTTTGTGACTGACAGAAGTATTGCACAAACAGCAGCTATCAAAGAAGTGTATCCAGATGTTGATCTTGTGTTTTGTCACAGACATATTAAACGCAATTTAATCTCTGCATTTGGAATAAACTCCAAAATTGTTTCAAACTTTGAACTGTTAATTAATTGAACTATAAAAAGCGAAGATTTTATTTCATTTATACAAAACTACAATTGTGTTGATAGTATAGTGGAAAGTGGGGATACGTGTGTCGATAAGAATGAGATATTTGCCGAATTCATTGATTATTGTAACGGAGAACAACCAACTACAACTTTTGAGTTGATATCCAACGATAAAAAACGTTTTTTGAAACAGTTGATTGACACTAAATTCAATTGGTTTCCGGAGTTTACAAAGAGACACAACAAAGACACGACTACAAATGTTGTAGAAGGTTTTTTGGAACTATAAAACAACGAACTGGTGGTAAAATAGTAAGGTTAGTGGAAGTTACAACTATATTTATAGAAAAAGCCAGAAAGTTGTTGTTCGATAGTGTCACTTGATTCAATGATGAAGACTTTAAAATACTCACCAAACTCATTGGAGTTGAAGCTGCCGCAGAAATACGTTGTGATTGGGGTAAAAAGTTACTTAATTATTATTCAATGTTGGACAAATTTGGACCTTTCAAAACAAGCAGTAAAGGAGTATGTACTTGTGCCGATTTTGTTCAACATGGAAGGTACTTTCCTTGTTTTCACCAAGTGTATTGCAATTTCTTTGACCCCGGAAGAAATTTAAGGAAATCGCTTTATTCAAAGGAGGATTTTGGGAAGGAAATATTTTTAGAAAAAACTAAAATAGTCAAACATGAGTTTTATTAAAGGACTATGAATAAATAATTATTCATAGTCCTTTAATAATAAAAAATAATTCATTTTTCAACTGGGAAAGAAGGGACCACATTGTGATATTCGATGAAATAGTCGACACGATTCTCAAAAATGCCACTCTAAAACAAAAGTGGTTCGAACTTGTCAGTTCGGTTTATCATTCGGAAATTACATCGGAAAATGTGTTAAAAGGGAATGAGGAGTTGCAGGAGTTCGAAGGTGAGTTTAGTTCAAAAGATCTGGTTGTACTTCTTTCTGCAAAGGTGAAACCAGCCAAATTGGTAGACTACGTCGAAAAACCTTTCTCCACCAAGGTTTCCAAGAAACGAACGGAATTTAAACCTCTTGGACCAACACTTCAAAAAATTGAATTGAAAGGTAATGTTTGCAAAATATGCCTTGGGAGAGGACATATGGCAAAGTGTTGTCCTTCTTGGAATAAAACAGAAAATTTCGATCGGTTAAATATATTCATTCAGTCTTTAAAAGGAGATAAGCGTACAGAATTCGAATTAAAACATAAAAAAGTCGTTTAAATTTCAGTTGTAATTAGGATTTAATATGTACATAAAAATAATAGTTAAAATATAATATTAAACCATTAACAAATTATACCAAAAAATTGTTAATTTCAATTGAAGTAAATGTGTTGTTTATTGCGTGTATATATATTAACAAGACAAAACAACGTTTTTATATTATAATATAACATCATTATAATGTTTTGTAATATTTTGTGTTGTTTTATTAACACCAAATGTTTAATAACCA